CACCGCCGGCCACCCCCGGCCGGCAGCCGAACACGGCCACGGGCAGCACGGCCGCCCCCGCCATGCTGCCGCTAACGCTGTCGCCGTGGTGACCGCGGCCCCAGCGGCCCCAGCGGCCCCGGAAGCGGCGCGCACGCGGCCGGAAGCGGTGGTGGCGGCAGCGATGGCGGCAGCGGTGGCGCGGCGTGGCTCTTTCTCGGATTCCGGCTCGGACTCGGAGGATTCCTCGCTCTCGGACTCGGAGGTGAGTCCGTGGCCGCGGTGGCCAGGCCGGTGGGGAAGGGCCGCCTGGTGCCGGCGGCGCGGACTGATCGAACTCTCTCACAGCTCCAGGAGGCCTTCGCGAGGGGCGCGCTGAAGCCGGGGCTCAACGTGGTGCTGGAGGAGCAGCCGAAGCGGCGCAACGACACGGTGAGCCGGGGCTGCGGGACCAGGGGGAGCCCCTGGCCAGGCCCGCGGCCCCAGCGCCGGCTGCGGGGCGCAGGAGGCACAGCGGGGCCGCAGGGGTCGGGGCCGGGCGGACTCCGGTGTTCTGCGCTGCGAGGGGGTCGGGTGTGTCCCGGCCGCCCCGAGGAGCAGCCCGCGGTGTGACCCGGACCCTGAGCGGGCCAGCCGTGCGGATCGGTCCGGGCGGTGCTATGCTGAGCTCTGATTTTTCCACAGGACGGCCTGAAGCAGTGCCTGGCCGAATTCAGGCAGCAGCTCGCGTGGGTGGAAAGGCTGGACGTGACTCTAGGCCCGGTCGCGGATCCCGTTTCTCAGAATGCTTCTACGTCTGATGCCGTTGACCCTGAGAATGATTTCCAGAGAGAGATGAGTTTGTAAGTGTCGAAGGAGATTTCATGTGTGTTGCGTTTTTGGAGTTACGGTTCACCAGACTGCTACACTGGCTGTTACTGTGGGACTCTTGTCCATGTTATTGTACCTTCGCTGGCTCTGAATGTTTTCCAGAATAACTACAAACTAGTGCTATTATATTTAACTGCTGTGTGACTGAAAAGAAATAATTTCCCTCTTCATAGTAGACTTCACCCTTTGCTGAGAAGTTTATTTTAAAAGCTCCTTGGTAGAAGGACTAACTCTTTAACACAAGATACGGATTTTTCTTTGTGGATTTGTTTTGGTGCTCTTACAGTTCTCTTGTTTTGCTTTGCCTTTTATATTCCAACATAAAAAAAACTATAACTGGCAACAAGATAAGTGTGTATGTGCAAGATATAAATGTTAATATTGTATTGGCTCCTAAACTGCTTTCAGTAGCGCTGCATGTGCACAGGATGTTGATATAAATCCAGACTAATGCTTGCTAGGTCGCAGTATCAACCTGCTTGTGTGAGCAGTTTGTGTCAGCACTATGAGCTGCCTGCCATGCGGTGACAGGGCCGGTGTGGTGACAGAGCCCACTGCAGTGACAGGGCCGGTGTGGTGGCAGAGCCCGCTGCAGTGACAGGGCCGGTGTGGTGGCAGAGGCGGTGCAGTGACAAGGCCAGTGCAGTGTGCAGTGACAGCTGGTGCTGTGCTCTCTCCCAGCTATCGGCAGGCACAGGCAGCAGTCCTGGAAGCCCTCCCTAGGCTGCGTAAGCTCCAGGTTCCTACGAGGAGGCCGGATGATTACTTTGCAGAGATGGCCAAATCAGACCAGCAGATGCAGAAGGTACGTGCAGTGAATGTCTTTCTTTCCTGTGTAATGTGTGCATTTTAGCCTGTGGTAGGCATTAAATTTAAGGTGTGATGTGTGAGTGCTGAACTTAATTTCTTTTCTGATTCCTATGGCAATGACTGGGTTTGAAACTTTGTGACAGGAGATTTCTTTTTGTTTAGGTATTTCGGTGCAATGTGGGGATTTTTATAGCAGGTTGTATGATAAAGTAGAAAAGCATGATTTATACTTTGTTTTGAATGTATTTAATATTAAAAAAAGAGACTTTTTTCGTAGTATGTGTAACAGTGGATATAAAGCTGCCTGTGTTTCTGCTCTTTATCATAAAACTTGCAGTTGAATGTGGTTTTAATGCAATCTTTTTTTCCTATTTAAGTATCACCTTTTGTTTATTGTCAGTGTGTTCTGGTTTTCTGTGATTTTAAACTGTATATTATTGAACGAATCTATTTTGGATAGAAAATTAGACTGGTGTAAGAAATAAGACTTTCACACATTTCCCTCTTGACTGTAGTCTTTGTTCAAAATGGAACTCTTTTTTGCTTTAGATTTGGAAAAAAGACTACATTGTATAAATTAAACAAACATGAGTTGGAGTCTGGTTTGAAGGTTCATGTATCATTGGCTCACTGTTTTGCTTTCTGATGGAACCTTTCTAGATAAGGTGAAAAACGATAATATAGCTCGCACTAAGGCTTAAGTCAGTCTTGCACATTACTGTTCTCTTCTTTAGCTGACTTTCATTTGAAGAATAATTTTTATCTCCTACTGGCGTCACTACACTGAATCATGAAGATCTGTGCTGAAATCCTTGTAATTCTTCATAAGACAGCAACTTTATATAAAAACCGTTTGTGAACAAGGAGGGAACAGAAAAGATGTTTTCTTCAGGACTGTTGACTTTTCTTCAGTGCTTTACTTTTAATAATGACACCCACATAGACTGACGAAATACTTTCAGTTCCATTAGAGCCCATTATAAGGCTTTGTCTTCTCTGTTTTCTGAGTTTTGTCCTTTTAACCAGATTTTGGCTGTAGATAAGTTCAGGAATTTCTGTAATAACTACTCCTTGCGCTGAAAGGATGGTATGCCTTATAGGCATTATCTGATTGAGAGATGTTTTCTTTTTTACTCTCATAGATGCTTCACAAATCCTGGCTTCAGGACTGTACAGAAATCATACAATTCTCTTTTTTTCTTTTGTTTTACTGATAAATTTTGCTTTTTCTATTCCCCAATTAGATTCGACAGAAACTTAAGAGTAAACAGGAAGCAATGGAAAGGTCTGAGAAAGCAAAACAACTTCGTGCAATGAGAAAATATGGCAAGAAGGTGAGGAGCTACAAAAGGGACATGTGCAAAAGGATCTGTGATAAGAGTTTAGAGCCTGAATGGGGAGCTGAAAGAGTGGGACCACAGGAGTCTGGCTAAAACACACAGAATCTGTCTAGTCTTCTGTCTAGCTGCTCTGAAGGAAAACAGAACAAAAGATAGGATAGCTTCAAAAAAAATATGGGACACTGCAAGGAACAACACTAATATTCTGCTTCTAATCTCAGGTGCAAGTTGAGATTCTTCAGAGGAGACAAAAGGAGAAGAAAAATATGTTGAATGCAGTCAAGAAATATCAGAAAGGTAAAGTCAACTTGTCTAAGAGAGCAAATGCGTAAAGGCACTAGTGGTGGGTGAGCAGTGTGGAGCAGTGTGATATGGTCACTGCCGCTCTAGTTCTGGACCTTGAGGTTGGAAAGCTGCTGCTGTGCAGAACTGTGTGCCAGTGGCAATGAAAAACCTCCCAAGCAGCTGTCCTTCAATGAGGGTGACCTGCTGCTATTACTTGCTTAGACTGAAAATCTGTGTTTTCTGAGGTGTAGCTGTGATGTCTTCACTCTTGCAGGTCTCTCTGACAAGCTGGACTTTCTAGATGAAGAGCAGACATCATCTCAAGGGAATAAAAAAGGCAATGCAAGTCAGCGGACAAAGAAGGGGTGAGACCAGAAATGAAAGCTAGTTAAACATAGAATGTCTGATTTTTTCAGTCTTTTTAGAGGATAATTTTGGGGAACAAGAAAACTGTTCTGTTTAGTGTTAAAATAAGTCCAAGGTGGTTTTCTGTCCCTAAAGAGAAGAAAACTATGGCCAAAATGGAACAGAGATTGAAATGTGCTAATTTCTGCATCTTTGTTAAGATGGGAAAGGTTTATGATGGTTGATGGGAGACTGTGAGTATATATATGTGTATCTTGAGAGGCTTGTGAAACAAGGAATGTATGCAGTGATGCTGGTCGGTTGTTTTTCAGACCAAATGCCAAAAGACGATACAAAAATCAGAAGTTTGGTTTTGGTGGGAAGAAGAAGGGCTCAAAGTGGAACACAAAGGAGAGTTTTAATGATGTATCCAGCTTCCAGTCAAAAGTGGCTCACAACAAAGGCCTAGGAAAAGGAGGAAGAGGAGGAAAAGGAGGGAAAAAAGCCCTTAATGTAAGTAAAATGTTGCATGAAAATTATCCTGTTTGGATAGGAACTCAGGCCGTGTCTGGCAGGGAGAGACAAGTGCCTCCAGCACATGATGGGTGCCTCCAGCATCTGGAAGTGATGCCTGTCTTTGGGAGCTAAGCATAATTCGGTTACTAACAGTACTGGGGGCAGCTGGTTTGGTATCAGCAGGAAAACAAGAAGAGGAGTTAAAAAGTGATATTTGCTAACTGTGTGCCAAAACCTCCCTCTCCAGATGTTCTGACAAATACCCTCTCCTTGGTATGCTCCCCAAGCTATAGAGCTAGAACAAAGATGGGGACCATGAAAATAAAGATCTGAATCTGTCCTTTTTCTTCACAGAAGAGACCTGGAAAAAGAGCAAGGCAGAAAATGAAGAACCGAGCCCGCTAAGAGAACTGTGCTCCCCAGTGGGGTTCCTGTGTTTTTTTGTGTTGCAACATGTGTTTCTGCTGTCATCAAGCAGCTAACTGCAGAACAAGCTGGATGCCTTGCAGTGGCAAGGAAAAAAAGTCAGTGGAAAGCAGTGCCTTATCACTAATTTCTTCTCAGTGTATGTTTTGTTGAAGGATTGTTTTCTACTTAAACCTCTGGTGTGTGAACGCATTAAATGGTTTGCACAGAACTGTGTGTAACTCATGTTTAGCTGTTCAATGAGTGGTGGCTGGAGCCTGCCTTTTGTTCCCTTCATTCTGACAGCTTTTTCCACCATTGCTGTTAAGATGAAGTTGGTGACCTTGAGTTCTGGGTCATGTTGCCAATGTCAAAATAAGAAGTCTGAAGCTTTTTGAGATGCTAGAGTGTTTTTTTAGACTATTTGTATAGAAACAGCAATGAGACAAATACAGAGCCTTACAGATAGGTTTGTTTGTGCCACTGTTGTCAGGTTGCAAATCTGGACAGATGAAAGTTTTCTTTTTTCTATTGTCTTTCACTAGAAATCTGCCAGACTTGCTAGATAACAAGCAGGGCCTAACACATTAGATGTCATTAACATTCTGTCTGTGCTTTTCCCGCTGTACTATTCTTTAGACTTCTCTCCCCGTGGTGCAGGGTAGCCATGGACAGTAATCTCAGTTTTCCAGCGTGGGCAGTAGAATCTAATATCGCTGCGGTCCAAAGGAACCTGGGAAACAAAAATGACAATCATGTGCTTTGACTAAAATTATTATTAGTAGTAGTCCCTCCTGGGGAGAGTGATGCATGGTGTTCTGCTGCTGAGAAATGTCTAAATGATAGGAAGAGCAGGGTACCACTGTACTGTTCACTATTCTGTCATGGTCAAACCTGCCAAATAAAGAAAACTTAACAAATTGAACATCATGAGTTCTGACTCTAAAAATTGAACTTGTTTCCCTACACACAGGCAAGTTTAGTTGCCTCTACCCTGCCAGACTGATCCTACCAGCAGTTCCTTAATACCATAGAGCCCAGATGAGATGTCTGTCTCTACCCTTGTCATGAGTAACTAGTTTATTTGATGTATAATATGAAAAATCAATGAAGACTGTCTTATTTTCTTACTTATCTTAGTTTTCTTTATAACAGGCCAAAATTTGCCTTTCCCAAAACACTAATCTGCAGTCACTCATCATCACAATTGTTTGTCAGATATGATTGATGTCTCAGCTTGTTAATCATATTTCTTTTCCTCCTATTTATTCACACTTCCCCAGATGAATCCTCAGTGGTGTATCTGCTTTGGGTATACTTACATGATTATTAATTTTATGGTTCTGCTTGCAATTTGTTTGAAAGATGCTGTTCAGCAGCATGTTTCTTTGCACAGTACTTCTGTATGTCACTTCACATTGCTCACTACACCATTTCTCATGGCTGAATGCTTTAATAAACAGCCCTGAGTACATCTGTGGCATTTGGCAGTATGTTGTCACTGTCATTGTAGATGTTTTGCAGTCAGGTTTCTCAAGGGAAGTGTACCGCTTCTCTGTTCACAAGTCTATGCCAGTGTGAAGAGTCCTCTTAGGTGTAAATTTTAAAAGCTTTAAAAACTGTTCTGTGAACAGCTTTGCTCATTCCCTGTAATTCGTTTTCCATGTTTGTCACAAATTGTTTTTCTGTATGAGTATTTTTCAGTGTGGCAAGCTTAATATCTCTCAGTCCTGTAAAGAGCTGAATCTGTAAGCATCCTACTCACCAAAGGTGTTGCATGCCAGCCAATTTCTTGGCTTTCAGTTTGTGGCATTGAGTATTTCCTTCTTGGCACCTCTGCTGCACGGTGAAGAAGATTCAGAAATTCATCTGTTGTTTTAAGAGATACAAATACAAATGAAAGTGTGTTTAAAAATCAGCCACCTGTGGACATGTGTTAGAATGAGACATCTTAACACTGTCCGAGCAACAAGAGCACCACGGGTAGAGGCAGCCTCTGTGCTTCTGTGAATGATATTGTCAGAATGCGTGGTGATGTTTCTACTCGAATATTTCCTGAGGAAGTTTCAAGATTTGCCTGACAATAGTATCCTGTTAATTCTGCTATCCCTGTCTACTGTACTGCAGCATCTTACTTTTCCTATACCACATCTAGCACAAGCCAGTGCTCCATGACAGCTTTCAACTTTCTCAGTTGCCTGAGACCTGCAGCCTTTCCCTGGTTTGGTTTTCTACCCTCCCCAGTCCTTGAATAGAGCAGGCCAACCTTATCTGACCCATTAATGTTTTTAGATAAAATTATCATTTTAGAAATAAGGGAGCAGCTGCCATATGGGCTCTTATTACCAGTGCTCTAAAGTAAGACTGGGCAGTCATTTCAGCAGTTTATCCTGCGTAGTGGTTAGGTAGAATCTGCAGTAGCAGGCAACATGTACATATAGAACATGATTATAGATATTTTTGTTTTCCCCTAGGGGTTTAGATTCTCAACCAAAATTTTATAGTATGAATATAAGGAATTTTATATATTTTATAGTTTATATATATTTTAATAAAAAACAAAAATAAGAGCATAATTGCATGGATGCAAACTTTTGCTGAAAATGGAAGGTAATGAGAAAGAACCTTAAAGTGGAAAAAAACCTGCTTTACAAACAAAAATCATAAGTGAGTTTAACTTACATGGTCACAGAGGTGTTTCCACATGATATTTTAAGACTGATTACAATTATTAAATCTTACGTGTTAATGATTTGCTTATGTAGTTATCACAAGCTTTTCAGAGACTTCTTACCATTTACTGGCTCACGTATGTTCTCATGCCAAGACATTGGCTTCCTAGCAACCATGTGAACTGGAAAGACATGAGACAGGTGAATGACTTCAATCACAGCCAGGTATAGAATATGTACTATTGAACTGCACGTGCACAGAAGAAAATGAGTACAAGTATTGATTAATGGCAAGTTCTAGGAAGGGCATGATAAAGTGTGATAAAGGCCCTTCAACAGGATGCTCCCTGTGCTCACCATATCAGTCCTACCCCACCCAAGGAGTGACCTACAGAGTGCCAAGTCTCAGGAAATTATTTTCCTTTGTTGTTTTATTGTAAAACCTAAACCTGAAAGAATCTACTCACATCACCTGCCTGTGCTAGCACAGACTGTGAATTGGCAGGTAGAAAGCGGATCAGGACCTGAAGGAACTTGGTGTAGCGTTGGGGCCTTCCACCCCAACTTGGTTCTGTATATACCCAGAATTTGTAAGTTCCACATCCTAAATAGTTGCCTCACTTCTACGTGGTTACTAACGGCACCATCTGGGCAAGTGGGTCGTGTCTTTGTTCCATCTCTGAGTGTGCAGACCGGTTCCTCAGGCAAAAGGAAAGTACACCAGTTGCCATTTCCCGCTTTACCCCTCTCACTGGCGCCTGCTGCCACACTTGGGTGCAGCTGCTTGTCCCCCACTACAATCCCCCCACGGCTTGTCTTGCCCCCGGGGCTTTAGCCAGTTCTGTGTGGCCGCGAGGCCTCACTGGGATGGTAGGGGTTCACGGTGTACTGCGTGAAGAGCAGCTTCCACTGGCGCTCCTTCTTGGCCCGCTCGGCGTGGAAGCGGTTCTGTAACGCGTCCGGCGGGTCCCTCTCGCCGCGCCGAGCGTCCATGGCCGCGCCGGCTCCGCGCGTCCCGCGGCCTTGGCAACGCCGGCCCGCTGCCGGCGAGCCCGCTGATTGGCCCGCCCGGCGCTCCGCCTCGCGCCCCACCCTTCCCGGCTCTTATTGGCGGCTGAGTTAAAACCCCCGGCGCCGATTGGCGGCGGCGCACGCGGCGCGTTTGAACGGCCGGCGGGGCGATGGAGGCGGCGGAGCTGCGCTGCACGGCGGCCGTGGAGCAGCCGCTGCCGGGGGGACTCGCCCCGCGCCGCCGCGTGATGCGGAACGCGACCGTGCTGCTGGGCCGCAACGAGCTGCGGGAGCCCGTGCTGCGGGTGGCCGGCGGCAGTGGCGCGGCGGCGGCGGTGCTGAGTTTCGTGCTGGCCGGGGACGCCGTGAGGCTCTTCACGCGGTTCGCGGGCGAGGGGCGAGCGGCGGTGCGGGTGGGGCCGGACGGCGCCCAGGTGCTGCTGTCCGACTGCCCCCCGGACGCGCTGCGCCGCTTCCTCCGCCTCCTGCGGCTCAAGGTGGCCGCCGGGCCGCGGGATGCGCCGCGCCGCCCCCGCCTGCTGGAGCGGCCGCCGCCGTCCTTCTCTGTCATCAGCCCGGTGCAGGAGCGGGACGTGCTGAGCGGCCCCGGCCGCCGCTGCGCCGGCGAAGAGCGGGGGGAGCGCCCCGCCGAGGTGAGTCCCGGGGCGAGGGGGCGGCTCCGGGGAGCGGCCCTGCCCTCACAGTTCACCCCCACCTGTCCCGCAGGTGTCCCGCGCGGAGAGGCGGCCCCCGGCGAGGCTCTCGGCGGAGCAGGAGGCAGTACTGGGCGCCGTGCGGAGCGGGAAGAGCATCTTCTTCACCGGCTCTGCAGGTGAGGGGCCCCGGAGACTGTCATCGGCTCCCCGGGGATAGTCCTGGCCATTGACCTGTTGCTTCTCCCTCGAAGGGACTGGGAAGTCGTTCTTGCTGAAGAGGATCGTGGGCTCCCTCCCTCCGAACATCACCTACGCTACAGCCAGCACGGGAGTGGCGGCTTGTCACATCGGTGGCACCACTCTCCACGCCTTTGCAGGTGATGGCCTGCCCGACAGAGAAGGGCTCGGAGCTCTTACTCCCTTCCCAAAGAATCAGAAACATCTTAAAGCATTGCTTTTTTTTGTCCTGTGACAGGGATCGGCTCTGGGAAGGCACCGCTGGAACAGTGCATTCAGCTGGCAGAGAGGCCGGGGGTGCGCCAGCATTGGCTGGCCTGCCAGCACTTAATTATTGATGAGATCTCCATGGTGGATGGCAAGTTCTTTGACAAGCTGGAGGCAGTGGCAAGGTGAGCAGTTATCAGGTCAAACTAGCATAAATTAATTTCCCTAAAGTTCCAGTCTGCTTATTTTCTTTAGTTTTGTGAATGGATACAAGGCAGCTGCTATAAGAAAGTATGAAATCATGGAATCTGGGACAATCTTTACCATGAAATAGGTTTTGGTCATGTCCACTCCTCAGTCACAGCTATGGCTGTTTGGGTTGTTCTCTGCATCTCCTGAGCTAAGTGCTGTCTATAGACCTGAGTCCAGAATATACAGCTGTGCCCAAAAGGTCTCTCTTGGCAGAGAGAGGTAGCTGTAGTATAACAGCCACTAAAGAACCAATACTGGTAATGACCTCTGGGGTAGATAAGCAAAGCAAATTTAATATCTTGTATTAGCATTGCCTAATTATTTGAGCTCTTCTGAAGCATCTGGGGATAAACATCTTTCACTGCAGGTTGTCTAGATTTGAATATATTGACAGATTAAGAAGTAACTTCCAGGACATGACTATATCCAGATTCTGGAGGACATTCAAAACTTCTCTTCTATCCTTTTCAGGGCAGTCAGAAAACGAGATGAGCCTTTTGGAGGAATTCAGCTAATTATCTGTGGGGATTTCTTACAGCTACCCCCAGTCTGCAAGGCTAATGAAGAAACCAAGTTCTGCTTCCAGGTACAAAACTGTTCCTAAACTCATTCTCATACTTAAAGTCTACCTCTTTAACAAGAGAATTTTTTTTTTCTTTTTTTCAGGCAAAAAGTTGGAGAAAATGCATCCACATAAACATGGAGCTGACTGAAGTGCGGAGACAGACTGACAAGACCTTTGTCTCACTCCTCAGTGCAATTCGTTTAGGCAGGTGAGAAGAAACTCATCTCTCTTTGTAATCCCTACTCCCCACTGATGGAGCAGAGGAAAGAGCAGTTTGTCACTTTTCTGTCCTCTGTCAGGAATGTGTAGCTGTGGGCAAAAGCTATAAATGCCTTCCTTAATGTAGACAGGTTTCATATATGCTGCTCTGGTAAGGAAGGACAGTTCCTAGGGTCCCTCTGCAAATTAATTCAAAGAATCCTGAGCTGGCAGTGGCCAGGGCAGGGCTGGGGCACACACTGGCTCTGTTCTCTGACTTTATCAGGCATCTTTCTCTGTCCTCTCTGGAGGCCTGTACCTTGCACAGACTGATCTAACTGTGTGGAGCTGACTGCTGCTCAAATCTGCTCCTGATCCCTTTAAAGAAGAATTTCCTTTTCCTGGGTACCAGGTGCACAGAGGAGGTTACCAGACAGCTGATGCAGACAGCCACTCACAGGTCTGAGCGTGATGGGATCCTGGCTACAAGGCTCTGCACCCATAAAGATGATGTGGAAGTAACCAATGAGAGACGCTTGCAACAACTGCCAGGTGAACTTGGTGGAGAAAACTGCTGGCTTTGGGGCTGAGCTCTGCAAGGATGCAATGGGAGTACTGAGGTGTCAGGTGGAACTAGTGTTCTGTCGTGGACAGCAGCATCAGTTCAAGCTCTGTGTGTTGGAGTTAAGGTATCTAGGGAAAAAATTCAGGTTTTTTGTTTAAAAACCCATGATATTACTATTTGGTTTGTAAGAGATAGCAAGCTCATTGCTTTTTATGAGGTAGGGTGGGTAATTTATTGCCTCCACATCCCTGCTTTTTCTTTCTATAGCATCTTAGGCCGTGCACTATGCAGCCATGACTTGAATTGAAGGCTATTTAATTTTTTGCCTCCCTTGCTGGCCCTTGGATTCTTCCTTAGTCTCTTTTGGAGATCTGGTGTTGGTAGTAAGTGAAACTGCTCAAAATGCTGTCTGCTCAGTTCTTATTTATTGCTGACCTTTCATTTCTGTGCCTTTTCATGCTCTGGAAGTTATATAGGGAAGAGAGGCAATAGTGAGCTTTCTGTTAGATATGACAAGGTTTGTGTGAGGATGTCTTAGCAGCAGAGCAGAATGGATATTAAAAGAGGCATTGCTGTTAGAAATATATGCTCAACCCCTGAAATGCTGTGTAAAATGTGTTCAACAGTTGTAAGTTCTGTCTTTCTTAACAGGAGAAGTGCATGTGTTTGAGGCTTTGGACAGTGACCCAATGCTAGTGAAGTTAATTGATGCTCAGTGTCCTGTGGGTGGTAGAGTTGAGCTAAAGCTCGGAGCTCAGGTAAGTGTGTACATACATGTGTGATAGACCAGATCAAATGGCATAAGAAAAACGGAGGAACATCAGAGAAATTTATAGAGTAGATTAATATATAGAATGCAAAATCAGTCTAGAATGGCTATGCCAGGGCAACAGAAGACTCTATCCCAATCTTTGTATTTTTACTGCTTAGAATCTTATGCAGACAGATGATGAGTTCAGGTCCATGTCTTGGGGACAATTGTGATTGCTGTGACTTTGACAGACATGCCCAATCAAATTTAGAAGATTTCCAGTAGCAGAGAACACAGAGGCAGTCCTTGCCTGCAGTCTCAGCTCCAGGTACAGCAGCCCTCCCCACCTGTAAAGGTATGGCACAGCTTGCCATATTTGCTGGACTGGGCACCTAGCCCTGAGCTAGGGCTGTCAGACTGGAAAGAGTGTAGGGTTGTACTTAATAGTAGCACTGTTTGCTTTGAAAACTTGTTCCTTAGCTGTTCCCAGAATCTGTATGTGCACAGGCTGGTGATGCCTGGCAAAGGGAAAACTGCTCCCTGGATCTGAGCTCGCAACTGTGGACAGAAATAGCTCAAGTAAAGTGTTCAGTGCTGTAAAATGATGTAGTTAGGAATCCTAGGAAGGAAAGGGTGTGAAATCATTCCAATCAAATTGGAGATGGTGCTGCAATAGGCAGGACAGGATGATCTGGATAAATCAGTCTAATGTACTTATGCTTCCTGGCAAGAAGTTTAGCTGCAGGTAGCTGAATGGGCTGTAGAAGAAGTGCATTAAAGACTTTTCTTTTTCTCTGTAGGTGATGTTAGCAAAGAATTTGGATGTGTCTCAAGGGCTGGTGAATGGGGCACGAGGTGTTGTTGTAGGGTTTGAAAGTGAACAGAAGGGTAAGTAAGCCTTGTGATCTTTTATTGAAAGAAGTGGGAAAATAACAAAACAGTTTGTCCTTGGTGCGTAATGACTTCTTAATTTTATTTACAGCTTGGTAATAATTTGAGGGAAAGCAGAGAGATCCCTGCAAGCTTGGGGCTCTCATGACCTGTGATGTCATGCACTGCATCAGCTATAGCTATCTGTAGGCCTCTTGTGTTCTGTATTCTGTATGCAAATGTGTATGCTCATTTGAATTTCCTCTTTGTTTTGTTGAAGCAAGTTTTGATGGAGTTTTGTTTTTCTCAAAGAATAATGTTCTGCTACCTACAAAATGTATTTTTCTCTGCATCTCAACTGGTAAAATACCTGCCTTTTATTTTCCTGCTTAAGTCGGTCAAACATAATTTCAGGACATGCTATTAACTGTCTGTGGATTTAGGTTTAGTTTAGGCAGAAAAAAGGTGTTCTTAAGCTGCTGACATCCTGGCTGTTGAGTGTCAGGAATATATCCCTGTTTCTTTCCTGTTCCCATTCCTAAAGGTCTGCCTAAGGTGAGGTTTCTCTGTGGGGTCACACAGCTCATAAAAATGGAAAAATGGGTCATCAAAGGACCATCAGGAGTTCATCTGAGTCGTCAGCAATTACCTTTAAAATTGGCATGGGCCATTTCCATTCACAAGAGTCAGGTGGGTGTTCTTGTACAGCAGTCTATAGACTTTTACACCATTATAAACCTCATTTTCTGGGTGAGCTTGCATTGCTGGTGAAACAGGAGGGAAAGCTGAAAGGCCCTTGTTGGGGAGGGGAACTCCAGAATGTGTCTAGCTGCAGAGAGATAACATCTCTTTTGCTTGTGGGGCTGCCAGTACTACTGGGGTTTCCTTAAGGGCACTGCCATCTGCAGAGTTGGTGTTGGACTATAAAGCAGCATTATTTACCACTGTAGGCTGGTGAGGGTAGTGCTCCCCTGAGAGCATTAGGAACCCTGAGCTCTGCAGTGCAACTGGGGAAGCTGCTGGAGCCACAGCTGTACTCTGGGCTGGACTTGCCCTTTGGTGTGTGGTGGGGATTTTTTCAATATAACTTTCAATGTAACAGTGTAGTATTTTAAAAGTTCCTTGCTTTCCAGAAGACTTCATACTTGATAAGTACTGATCTTAGAGACCTGTGGATTTATTCCCATGCCACAGTTTAAACTAGGCTATGCTGTAAATTCTGCTGCACCTGGGACAACCCATGAGACAGGGCTGGCCAGGCCTTTCCCAAACTCTGTCAGGTCTGCCAGAAGACTGCTTGAGAATGGTGCCTGCTCCATTAACTACTAAGAGTGAAACTAGTAGGATTTCTCTACCTGCTGTGTTGATTAGATGGGATTTATGGAGTTTCACACAAGAGCCTCACTGGGTTTAGTTAGTGGATCCTACTATCTACTAGAAATTTTCTGACAGTGGGAAAATAATGCCTTTCTACTGATTCCCTCTTTTAAAATCAAAACCTATCACCAAAGATAGTACCTTGGACACTCACTGGGACATGACAATGTTCTTGTTTGTTTGCTCTGTAACAAAGTTCTCTGTGCCTTTGATAGGGCATGTCGTTGGACTATGTGGAAATCTCCCTGTCTCGTGTCTTTGAAAATGGGCAGGCTTATGTAGCCCTCTCCAGAGCCCGAAGCCTTGCAGGGCTCCGTGTTCTGGATTTTGACCCAAAAGCAGTGAGAGCTGACCCTGCTGTGCTGCAGTTCTACAGACAGCTGAGACATCATCAGCTGCCAACCCAGGTAAAAAAAATCTCATGCTAGCAAAGCCTGCCTTGTGCAACCAGAATGAGAGATGTGGGCATCAAGATGTTTTTCTTTTTCTTCCTAAGCAGGATCAACACTTGTAGTAGCAGGAGAGATGAAACTGCAGAGAGGGCATATAACAGGGCAGCTCTTGGGGAGAATATATCCACTGTAACGTTGGGGTTGTGTAACACTACCTGGTCCTCTGGGTGAAAGGATGGGTTGGGATTTTTTGATCCTTCTCTTGCAGTAAGGAATGAAGTGGAAGTTGGCACAAAATAAATTTGTTTTTGTTTTTTTTTTTTTTTCTTCTCAAAGGGTTCACTACACACCTATTCAGATGCTGATGAGAAGGAGAACTGGAAATGCAACTGAGAATGCTCTTCTGGTTTCTGTGAGGTGTCAGCAGAGATTGTCTATGTTATCAAATATACACAACAACAAGATCACTGCATTTCAGCAAAGTCAAAGGAGATTTTTTTAGATCTTTGCTTCATTCAGCTGACTGGATATGTAGAACTATCTCTACCTCACATTTCTGGAATTTGGACGGCTTCTGCACACCCCTTCTGAGCCCCCAGCCTTGAGTACTCCTGCGTTGCAAACACAACTCTAGCAAACAAAATGACTGAGCAAGGATGTATCTGAGGGATGTTTCTACAGTTTTATCTTGTCTGAGGGACCTTCCTACTGTTCTCTCCTGCCTGCTACTTGTATTTTATTCTCTGCACATATAGACTGAAACCTGTGTGCCTTTCTTCAAGTATTGAGAGATGGAAAGTGTGTGTCCTTTTTGCTTGGATGGATTGTTCACAGGAGCTGCTGACACAAGGCAAAACAGTGCTAAATATCTGGAATACTTGATTTGCCTGCAAGAGCAGAGCTATTCTTGCTGCCTGACGCCAGGAGGCTTTGCATAACTTCTTCCACAAGTAGAATTGTCAGAGTTGCACATTGCCTGTTGTGCTGATACATAGTATTTTTATTAGTCTGTTGCATACAATGAGAATTCTTTTTTAACCTTTTCAGATGAGCTGGCACTTTTTAAAAATAGGAGGAAGTCCTACATCTACCCATAATTATGGAACTATAAGAACTGTGAAGATTCATTACCCCATGAGCAAGAAGAAGGGGGTGAGAGGAGCTGGGTGCTGGTGGGACCCCCTCCTGTCTAAACACGTGAGGCTCCCATTCAGATGGGAGTTTCTCCAGGAAAAAATATGTTTGACTAATAAGGTGGAAGTTGAGTGTGCAATAGAGTAATGGCTAAAGACATGTGAAGTGAGCTGTAACTTCACTTGTTTCAGCAAAAGCAGAGACGAGCAGAACTAATGAATTGTCTTCTTAATAAAGGAGAAGATTTGGTCTTTGTATTTTAGCACTTTGCTTAAAGCTAAAGTAACTTGTATATTTTAAAATGTTTTCCATATGGGAATAATATGAAATAACATCCAGCTGGAACTTGTCTCTTGCAGGGGAATTCTCTAAAAAAGCCTTTGCAGTGCAAGGAAGTTGAAGACTGTTTCTTGGCAGCTGCTCTCCTTAAAGCCAGGAAAGGATGTTGACTAGCCAGTGGTTAACAGAAAACAGACTTTGATAGGATTTAAAATGTATTTTTAAGGGTTTCTTTGTTATTTTTTTCTGGGCTTGAGAAGGTAGAGTCTTGGAGGAAACAAAAGTATAAGGCAGAAGTGTGACTATTATTCAGAGAGGTTCTTAATATATCAGCTCATTGTTTCTTCAGAGAAGTTTGGTGGGGAGTGGATGGAAGTACCTGGAGGTGGAGCTGGAACCTATGGAAGGCAAATCCCAAACCCTGTGCTTGGCCAGGGGGCTGGATTCAGTTAGCATTCTTGGGGGTTTTTAAAGATGACATGCTGCAGTATAATGAGGGCTTTGTGTTGCATTGGACTTTAAAGTGTGGAATCTGAAATACCCAGAATGTTGAAGTGAATTTTACTATTGGGGTAGACAGCCACGAAGAATATGCCAGGCAAGTCCAGTCATTGACAATACATTGATTTTTTTGACTGGTTATTTAAGAGCAATGAGATAATGCAGGTTCAAATCCTTTAATACGTCTTAAAAAGTTCCTGTACCCCTGTAATTGCAAGATAATTTAGAGTGTAAGAGTGGTGATCATGTACAATGCAAATAAATTTTCATGGACTTAAGGACTTTCTTATCTTTCCAGTTCAACTGGAGGGGGTGGGTTGATGCCAGTTTGAGATAATTTCATCTTTAGGTTCTGTTTAGCATTTTATCTATATATATTAATATATATTAATCAATACTTCATTTAGTATTAAATCTACTTGAAATATTATAAATACATTCTCAGTGATGGAACTGTGGAAGCAGAATCACTGTGGCATTGGAAGGCCTGTCAGCTGTTCCGAGGCCAAAAGGTGTCCATCTGTAAAATTTTCCAGCTAAAGCAGATCCAGGGATGTGTGCTGAGTTTGAAGGCTAAAAGAAGCAGTCAGGACAAATCTGAGCTGTCAATCCCTTCGGTCAGGATTATGATGAGGCCTTTTTAAAATTTAATAATGCTTTTCTATACATGACTAAAAACTCTTATTTAATTATACAATAAATATCCCTTCTTCCACACACTAATTTTTCTTACAGAGGTACTATCTAGAGCTAGGACTCAATACATCATCATAGGATTTAAAAAAAAAAAAAATCACAACTTTTTATTGTGGCGATTGTACTGGAAGAAGAGAGATGTTCCTCCTCCTCTTGTCATTAGTCAGTCAAAAGAAGAAGACTCTGAAGACCCTGCAGCTTTTTAGGGGATGCTGCCCAAGGCCAGCCTCAGCATGTCTGGTGCTGCCCTAGCTTTTAGCTGCTGTGGAGAGGTAGACTCAGCAGGCTGGTATGGGAAGGTAGGCTCTAAGGATAGTGTAAAAAGAAATATTTCCCAATGAATTACAGCTGTACTGATTGCTGAGGAGTGGAAACAGCCTTGCCTGCCCAAGTTATAAAAGTGTGAGCTAGCTATTCAAACTAAGTTGCAGTTGGAGCTTGGGATGGAGTCTGCTGGCTGTGCTGTGAGGAGGAAGGGACAGGTGCTCTGTTAGGGACAGATGTAGTAAGAAGATGCTCTGTGAGTGACAGACAGGGTTAGGTGGTCATGCAGAAGGAAGAAGGAAACTGCCTGTAAGAAAAGGACTCAGAGTTGCCTGAAAGAAGGCATGAAAAGCTTTTAATGAAGGACTGAGTGGTGATGGTGTCAGTCCAGTCTGTCTCAACATAATTAATACAGGCTGGGTTTTTGCAGGGACAATTCACGTGGCTCATGAGAGAGTAAGCACCGGTGCCATCCTCAGCTTGCACAGCCGAGAGCTTGTGCATGTGCCACGTCCTGCATGGATCCTCTCCAAGGTTCTGCTCCTTCATGGAAGAGCCTGCTTGGCCACCGTGTCCCCGGGGCTGCAGCGGGACCGGGACCGTCTCCTCCCCTGCCCTCAGCGCTCCTTTCTCCCACCTTTTCCTCACACCTCGCAGTTCCCCCGCAGTCTGGAGCTGGCCAGGTTGGGCACGGGGCAGTCCCAAGCCCCTCTCATAGAGACCCCGGCCAGCCCCTGGGCTCGGACAGACGGAACACTGAGAACACCGAGAGCGGGGGTGTGAGCAGGGCCCCGCCGCCAGCCCTGCTGCAGGATGTGCTGGGCGGCGAGGGAAGGGCCCAGGACGGATGGCCCGGGAGGAGAGGGAAGGGCCCAGGACGGATGGCCCGGGAGGAGAGGGAAAGGCCCCAGGACGGATGGCCCGGGAGGAGAGGGAAAGGCCCAGGACGGATGGCCCGGGAGGAGAGGGAAAGGCCCAGGACGGATGGCCCGGGAGGAGAGGGAAGGGCCCAGGACCGATGGCCCGGGCGGCGAGCGAAGGCCGCAGGCGCTCCGGGAGGGGACAGGGACAGGAGGAGCTGGCCCAGGTGCCGGGACAGGCTCCATGAAGGCGCTGGGCTGTGGACTGATGTGATGGCTGGGTCCTATCCCTGTGGGAAAAGGCTTCCATGACTGTACTCCCATAAATACGGGAAATGAATATTATCTCGTCACAAACTGAAGAGAAAGCATTTAAGCATTTAAACATCTGCCTTAACTGTAGCTATCGTTAAGTGAATTAAACTAAGAGTTTGATTCATAATTGGTATTTCTGTTACCACGAAGTACAGCCGTTCTCATTTTGAATACATTAAACCATAAGAAGCTGCTTTATACCAGCTAAAGCTCCATAATACATTTATGTATTATTGGAAGCATAATTCACAAACAGAGTGTTATTAAAACCTTACCAGCTTCCAGTTTAAATCTTTGTATGGTGATATAACACCCTTCTCGTTTTTATGTGGCCTTTTCATTATAATTAAACATGGATGTGTCCTCACAGTCTGTGCCCACAAGTCCTGTGAGCACAGGAAAGGCAGCAATATTCCTGTTGATCTTGGATGCTGTAATAAGATTGTGTCCAGGAATTAGACCTTCATATCCAGAATTGCTCTGAATGCATAAAAAAATGCTACTCTTAAGTAATGGAAATACAGTACATTATTGGTTGTGCTATGAATGCTAATAATGCCATTTTTCTTGTAGATATTACAAGTTTCTCATTTTATATTAGGCCACTCCGTGACATGTAATTGTCTTCTGCTGTTAAATCTAAGCAGTTCTATTACTAGCATGAGAAAAGACCTGAATTGCTAAAGATTGCATTTAGATGTGTAAAATTTCTATTTTACTGTTTCCCATATGACTATTTTATGCTTGTTTCTATTACAAATCATAAGACATTGTATGGAATATTTTAGCTGAGCTACTGACTAGTATATAATTTATGAAATCTGGTTATAGAGGCAAAAGAAGTTGATAGTAAATCTAAGAGTAGTTTTTCACTTACAGTTATTGAATACTGCACTATTTGATTTTTTTTTCTTTGAAATTTGTTACCGTGTTGGTACAGGGGGCTGTCAGATGTGACCAAGAATGTATGAGAGCCTTTCTGGGGTGGCAGCTGCATTGGCACCAACAGCTTCTTAACTGGTACCACATGTGGGCAACTAGGTTCTGAGGTAACACAGGCTTTTACTAAATTGTTTATTATAATATTTCTACAATGAGAGCTATGATAAAGATGCCTCTGACAGAAATTTAAGATTTTTAATTAAGTTTTTTTAATTGTTATATGGACTTCATAGGGTTTTTTCCCCTCTTATTTCTCAAAATATATGGGTTTTTTTGTCAACAAGTTGGTGAATGTGTACAGGAGCCATACCTCCCATCTACTGCTTCTTAAGCCACTGGCTATCAGTTTTCTGTAGGACATGTAATATTTTTTTTTTTCAAATTACTATAAACACCCTGAGAATTACAGGGGGATTTGCACAGACTTTCAGCTGGAACTTAG